ACAGAGTTTATATTATTTATATACTAGCATATAATCAATTATATAATTTCTGGGGATTTAGCTCAGTGGTTCCACCACCTGCCTCGCAAGCACAAGGTCCTGAGTTCGATCCCCAGGACCAAAAAAAAAAAAAGTTTCAGCTGAAATTGTATAATTTCTAACCCAATGCCTAAAGTACAGTAATGTTTAATAATTGTATCTTGAGCCAGGGATTTAGCTCAGTGCTGCTGCCTGCCTTGCAAGTACAAGGTCTGAAGTTCCATCCCCGGTACCAAAAAAAAAATAAATAAAAATAATAATAATAATAATAATTTTATCTTGAATTGAGTTGACAAAACTATGACTAGAATTCAGTTTCCTATTCTCTACTTTGATGTTCTTATGAACACTGTCCTGTAAAATAGTTAAAATAGGCTGGGCGTGGTAGCGCATGCCTATAATCCCAGCACTTGGAGGCTGAGGCAGGAGGATCGCCACAAGTTTGAGCCCAGCTTGGACTACATAGTGAGCTCAAGGCCAGCCTGAACTACAAAGCAAGACCTTGTCTCAACAAAACAAAACAAAACAAAAAGATTAAAGTACAACATATTATAAATTGAACATGTTTTTCTTTAAAAATCATTTAAACAATAACCTAAAGGCCAAACTTCTTTTAAGGACTTCCACATTCTTCCCGTCTTCCTATCAAGACTATGGCTGATAACTGCAGTGATGAGTTCGAAAAGGAAAATAACAAGGTGCAGTATAACCCACAACTTCTCACAGAACCTTACTTTTAGATAACACCAGCTCAGCAGGAAACATTTCCTAAATACTCTCTGCTAGGGCTTGGGTTCCTTTGAACTCATAGAGGAAAAGTAGAAGCAAGGCGCCTTGAGACTTTGAAACATTTCAGAAATAAAGCATCCAACCCCCTGCCCCCAGCCTGACCTGGCAATGGGGATCAAACCCAGGGCTTTACGTGTGCTAGGGAAGCACTGTGCCTCTGAGCTATATCCCTAACCCAAGCCTACTCTTAGAACTGACTTTTTGGTGAGAAACTTGATAGAAAGTAGGCCAGTGTTTTCACATACTTTACTGACCATAAGAATCAACTGGAATACTTTTTTTTTTGGTGTTGGAGATCGAACCTGGGGCCTCATGCATACTAACAAGTGCTGTTCTACTACTCAATCCCCGGCCCTTTGAACACTTATTTTTAGAAATATAGATCCCAGTTCCCACCTGGAATCTCAAAGGTAAAAGCCTAAGAATTTATATTTTTAGTAAGCATTTCTTGTGATTCTTATTCAGAATGATTGGTCTAGGCATTGTTTTCATTGTCAAACTTATGGTGCTGACAATATTTTGTGAAAGAAATTTTAATTTTCAGGTCTTAAGATACAGATAAATGTCCCTTTGCTACTCTATGAACACAGAGACCCTGTTTCTGAAAGATGGAAAGATGCCTACATCTCTAGCTAGGTAGGAGTTGCACACGTGCTCTCAATAACAGCCATTTGTGTTTAGCCTTAGCAGATGACCCACTGGTTACATTTGTCCTTTAAGAACAAAAACTTTGAGCTAAATGTGATGGTGCATGGCCATAATCCCAGCATTTTGGAAAACAGGCAGTAGGATCATAAGTTTGAGCCTATCTTAGGTAACTTAGTGACTTAGCAAGACCTTGTTTGAAAAATAATAAAGGGGCTGGGTTGTAGGTCAGTGCAAAAGTCCTGAATTCAATTCTTAGTACACACAAAAAAAGAACCAATTTTTTTTCTTTTTTTTTTTTTTTTTGGAAGGGGGTTGAGACAGGGTCTCACTATGTAGTCCAGGTTGGCCTCAAACTCATGGTGATCCTCCTGGCTCAGCATCCCAAGTGCTGGGATTACAGGTGTGCACCTGGCTAAAAGAACTAATTTGGTGGGGGGGGACCAGGCATTGAACTCGGGACCTTGCGCTTTTGAGGCAGGCGGCAGCACCACTGAGCTAAATCCCAGGCCCAAGAACCAATTTTTGATGTCCTGTAATGTGTCACAATTTTATGCGCTAATAGCTGCTTTACCATAAATGAAACAGTTTTAGAAACTGAAACCAATATAATGTTTATAGCATTTGGAAATCAAGCTTTTGTTTCTTTTTCTTTTCTTTTCTTTTTTTTTTTTTTGAGACAGGGACTCCCTATATACTGTTTTCAGGCTAGCCTCGAACTCAGTAGCCATGGCTGGCTTCAAGCTCACAATGATCCTCCTGCCTCAGCCTCCTGAGTGCTGGGATTGCATGCACCACCACGCCCAGTTTGACTCAAGCTTTTAAACTTTTTTTTTTTGGTACCAGGGATCGAACTTGTGTCCTTCCACTTGCGAGACAGGTGGTGGAACCACTGAGCTAAATCCCTGGCCCTTAAACCTATTTTTAAAGGGGGCCATTGTCCAAAGGGAGGGCTTGCCATAGGCTCCAGGCCACAGAGGCAAAGACATGGACCCTGTCTTATATACTATGCTTGCAATTCGGTTGCAACCAGAATTGTGGAACAAATTCTGTGACCAGAATCATGAAAAAAATTAGGTTCATGAGCCAAGGTCCCACTGTATTTAGAGTTGCCATCCTCTTGAAGAGTCCCTGATCTTAGAGTTAAAGCGGTCTAGATAAAGCTTATGCAGAGCTCTCAGGATCTCCCAGCTAACAGGTACAGTAGGTATCAATTGGATAGAATTTGACCCTTAGCCTCAAGTAGAAGGATATGGCTCCAGAAAGTGGGGACCCATGTTGTACCTGAGCAGGAGCAGAAGAAGTGTCTTGGGCCTCTTCTGGGGAGTGTCACCTTCCCTTCCCATGTCCAGGGGCCAGGGAAGGGGAGCGGTGCTGGCTCAAGCCATACAGAGCTGGGCCCAGGAACATCATATTTTCTGTCTCTGAGCCTCTCTCTGCCTACTGTGCCCAACCCAGGAAAAGAAGACCTCACAGTTGACACCTCAGCGGGGCTTTCATGAAAACGATGATGATGATGATGATGATGACGACGATGACTCCTCTGAAACTGATTCTGAGGAAGATGATGATGACGAAGAGCATGGAGCCCCTCTGGAAGGGTGAGGAAAGACCCTTGCTAAGTATATGCCAGCCATGGGGCAGACAGCGCCTAAGTACTGGACCAGGAGGATATCAGTTAGGAGTGAGATTGCAGTATCACTTTTGATCTCCTCCATTAAGATCTTCACACCTCTCAGAGTGTCAACATAACCAGTATTTACTCCTTTATGGCTCCACTTCCTCACCCAGTTCAATAATGTCACTTAAAACAAAAAAATTTAAAATCAGGTGTGGTAGCACACATGTGTAATCCCTGCACTCTGGGAGGCTGAGGCAGGAGGATCATAAGTTTGAGCCCACCCTGGGCAATTTAGTGAGACCCTGTCTGAAAATAAAAATAGAAAAAGGGCTGGGTATGTAGCTTAGGGCTGGGTTCAGTCTCCAATACCATAAAAACTAAATAAAAATGTAAAGCATATTAATTACAATATATTTAATAACAGTTGAACAATTTCCTAAGTCTACCTTCAAATTTAGTATATCCTTGGGCCAGGGATTTAGCTCAGTGGCACCGCATCTGCCTTGCAAGTGCAAGGTCCTGAGTTTGATCCCTGGTACCGGAAAACAAAAAAAAATTTAGTATGTTCTTTAGCTGGAGTGTGGTGGTGTTCAGGAGGCTGAGGCAGGAGGATCACCATGAGTTCAAGGCCAACCCGAGCACATAGTGAGTTCAAGACCAGCTTGAAGTATATGGCAAGACCCTGTCTCAAAAAAACAAATTTAACAAAAAAATGTAGTACATCCACCCTAAATTGGGTTCAGGGATTACATGAACTTTTGCTGAGTAAACCTGAAAGATGATTCTTTTCTTCATGCTCAGTTTGAGGAAGAGGAAATAAATTTGCATACATAGCAAAGGATTTTTATATACCGAAGAAGCTATACATGCACACAAGAATTTCCATTTTAGGCTCGAGGTCACTCTCCTGAGGTCCTAGTTGAGAATTGCCAGAGTTACCTTCTTTAGTTTTATTTCTCTGAAGTTAGTACCTGTATTTAGAAGCTAAGTATGGGCATTAGCTTTTTCTCTTGGTACTGGGGATCAAACTCAGGACCTTGTGCTTGCGAGGCAGGCAGTGGCACCACTGAGCTAAATCCCCAGCCCTCCTGAGGTCCTAGTAACACAGGCTGACCTGTGGCTCTACCACCTCTGCTGTCCTCAGGTCACTATGTGGAATGAACCATGTTTTCCTTTCTCCAGGGCCTATGATCCTGCAGATTATGAGCATTTGCCAGTGTCTGCTGAGATTAAAGAACTCTTCCAATACATCAGCAGGTGAGAACTAGGATTTCCCACTCTACCCCACTATCCCTACCTTGCCCCAAACCTTTCCCTGTCTGGTCTGAAACCAGGCCAATCTCCTTTGACCAGTTCTAGCTTGAATAGTGAAGTAACTTTCTCTCGCTCTTCCACTTCCTGGTCATTATCTTTAGGTACACACCCCAGTTGATTGACCTGGACCACAAGCTGAAACCATTCATTCCAGATTTTATCCCAGCTGTTGGGGATATTGATGCATTCTTAAAGGTATAGTCAGTGTATCCTAAAAATGACTCCTTAGGTCTGTGGTGGGGAACCTACAACATGTGTGCTGCAGCAGGGCCCTCTCTTTCAGCATGCAAGCCAAGTCACCCCAGCAGCCGAGCATTGCAGAACAATTGTTTTTTCTAAGCTAATACCTCAGTCTTTAGGTTTAATTACATTATTGGCACTTTGCAATAAATAAGTGGGTCTGGGGTTGCAGTTTGGGCACTGGGTCTCTAAGAAAAGGTTCACCATCACTGCCTTAGATGTTTGTTCTGACCCCTCTATTCTAACAGTTCTGCTAAATTTCTTTGACTAGCATTGGCTACCTTAATAGTGTTCATTTCATTTGAGTTTTTAACCTTGCTTTCTCCTCCAAATTATACTCATTGTTAATATTTTAGGTCATTATATAATAAAAGATTATCACATATATGCCTCCTAATTATCCATGAATTCAGCCTTGTAGTTAAGCTTCCATAGATCACATGTTGTTTTATTAGGTAGTATTTAGTACAATATCATGAACAAGCATGCTTTTTAATACCAGAAATAATGATGAACCAGAAGACTTTTTCCTTTTCACCTTTTTGGAAACAGCAGATGTGGCCTTGTTATTGACGTCACATTTTTCTGCCTTCTCAACTTTTTCTCCCCAGGTCCCACGTCCTGATGGAAAGCCTGACAACCTTGGCTTGTTGGTACTGGATGAACCATCTACCAAGCAGTCAGACCCAACAGTGCTCTCTCTCTGGTTGACAGAGAATTCCAAGCAGCACAACATCACAGTAAGATCCCGGCCTCCTACCAGAGACCAGCTGGAGGGGGTGGGCAGGAGCAGAGGCCTTGCTGGGTTCATACAGATGACCTGCTGCCTATGAAAGGGGTGGGTGTGGCTTCAGGCCAGCTCTATTTTTTAACAACAGCTTTATTGAGATATAATTACATGCCCTAAAATTCACCCTTTTCAATTCATGGAGTTGAATATACTAAAAGCCAATGAACTGTACAATTCATCACTATCTAATTTAAAAATTTTCATTGCTCCAGAAAGAAACCCTGTACCCATTTCCCTCCTCTCCTAAACTCTGGTAGTAACCCCTTTTTTATGGTGAATATTATTCCATTGAGTGGATATACCACAATTTATATATCTACTCACCAGGTGTTTCCACTTTTACTAATGCTGTCATGGACATTCATGTACAGGTTTTTTTTTTTAATGTACAGGTTTTTGCATGGGCTTATGTTATTATTTCTCTCAGATTTAGAGGTAGGATGGGAATTGTAGGGCTACCTAGTGACTCTATGTTTAACATTTTGAGAAACTGATGAAAGGTTTTCAAAAGTAGCAGCAGCATTTATAGTTCATCAGCAATAAGAGTTTCACTTTCTTCATACCAATACTTGTTGTTATTTGTCTTTTTAATTTTTGCCATCCTAGTAGGTGTGAAATGACATTTCAGGTAGTGATTCCTGTCCTCCTGACCTGCCTCCTTCCCTTGGCTCCAGTAAATTTTAACAGGGCTTCTGTATTAGGCATCTTTCCATCACTATAACAAATACTTGAGATAATCAACTTATAAAGAGAAAAGGTTTATTTTGGCTCATAGCTTTGGACATTTCAGTTCATTATTTTTTTATCTCCCCCCCACCCTTGTGCAGGCTCAGCACCACTGAGCTAAATGTCATGCCCTCAGTGTAATGGTATTGATTAGCCCCATTGTTTTGGGCCTTTAACAAGGCAGTACATCATGGCAGAAACACAAGGTAGAGCAGAGTTTCCCGCCTCATGGATAGGGAGAAAAGAAGAGAGCTAGGCATAGAGGCACAAGCCTGTAATCCCTGCACTCTGGGAAGCTGAGATAAGAGGATCACAAATCTCATTCTGGTCAATTTAAGGAGACTCTTGTCTCAAAAAATTAAAGAAAGAAGGGCTGGGGATGTAGCTTAGTGCAAAGGCCCTGGGTTCAATCCCCATTAAAAGAAATTTTGGGGGGCCAGGGATTTAGCTCAGTGGTTTCACTGCCTGCTGCGCAAGCGCAAGGACCCGAGTTTGATCCCCGGTAACAAAAAAAAAAAGAAAAAATTTTTTTTCACTGCTGTCAGCTCTCTCCTTTTTTTTTCTCCTGGTACCAGGGATCAAACTCAGGACCTTGTGCTTTCAAGGCAGGCACGGCACCACTGAGCCAAATCCCCAGCCCCACTCCTTGTATTTTTTTTTAGCAACACATGAAAGTAAAGAGCCTGGAAGATGCAGAAAAGAATCCCAAAGCCATTGACACATGGATTGAGAGCATCTCTGAGCTGCACCGCTCTAAGCCCCCTGCAACCGTGCACTACACCAGGTGAGAGATACCACATTTGTCACCACAGCAATACAGGCCCCTTCAACACCTGGGAACCACTGCTCCTGAGCAGAAGCCTAAAGCCTCAGGACACATATAATCAACCTGAGGTCCTGAAAAGAAAGTACATTTTTAACTACTATTTAGAAATTGAAAAGTTGATGGCTGCTGGCTTAGCTTATGGACATAAAGATTGAAATTTCCCTGGTATTATTATTTAGCCAGCCCTTCCAAACCCCAGGCCCTGGGTACATTTGGTTTGCATGGTCTTAAGTTCTCCTGAAATTGTAGGATGCCAGAGTGAGGATCTCTTCTTATCCTAGAATATCCTGACCCACAGATTACTGATGTCATTAGTCTAGGTTTCCTATTCATATTTACCTCTGAACTTTTAGGCCCATGCCTGACATTGACACACTGATGCAGGAATGGTCCCCAGAGTTTGAAGCGCTTTTGGGCAAGGTGAGTGGAAAGTCAGAGGAGGTAAGAGCATGTGGCATTCATTATAGGGCCCAGTGTTTTCCTGTATTACCACCATGGACCTTTTTTGGTGCTGGGAATTGAACCCAGGGCCTGGAGCATACTAGGCAAGTACTGAGCTATATCCCCAGCTCCTCACCGTTGACTCACTATTGAAGTATAATACATGATCATAAATGTACATATATCCTTAATGCTGATCCATTTTCACCAGCTGAGCATCCTTGTGTAACCAGCATATCAGATTAATAGATAGAACATCACCACCTCCCTGGAAGCCCCCACATGCTCCTACCTCCCAGGGTAAGCACTCCTGATTTCTTGATTTGCCTGTTTTTTTTGGTACCAGGGATCAAACTCAGGACCTTGCGCTTATGAGGCAGGCAGTGGAACTACTGAGCTAAATCCCTGGCCCAAGATTTGCCTGGTTTTGTACTTTCTGTAAATCCAAACATATTCTTTACGTCTGTCTTGTTGTTCTTTTTTTTGGTACTGGGGATCAAACTCAGGACCTTGCATTTGCGAGGCAGGCAGTGGAACCACTGAGCTATATACCCGGCCCCTGTCTTCTTGTTCTTAATATTATGGGAGATTCATCCATATTGTTTTGTGTGATTCTTTATTTCTTCTTGTAACTATATGTTATTCCATCATTTACTACATGTGTATATGACAATTTATGCATTCTATGACAGGCATTTGGGTAGCTTTTAGTTTTTGGTTATTAAAGTAGTGCTACTGTGAACACTATCTAACACATATCTTTGATGAATATATGTACTTCCTGCATTATTATTTTAGACTTAATCTCCTCCATAGGAGGTGTTTATGCTATTCTAAGAAACTGATGTTCCATTTATAATTATTCTTTTTTTTCTTTTCTGTGTTGAAGATTAAACCCAGATTCTCACATTTGCTAGACAAGTGCTTTACCACTGAGCTGTATCCCCAGCCCCAGTCACTCCAAATTTTAAAAAATACCCAGGAATAAGCTGGGCATGTTGGCACATACCTGTAATCCTAGCACTTGGGAGCCTGAGGTAGGATGATCACTGCAAGTTCAAAGCCAGCCTGAATTACATAGTGAGACCCTGTCTTTTTTTGTGTGTGTGTGCTGGTCATCAAACTCGGGTCCTTGCGCTTGCGCAGCAGGCGGCAAAACCACTGAGCTAAATCCCCAGCCCTAGATCCTGTTTTAAGAATAACAAAATTCGAGGGCCGGGATTTAGCTCAGTGGTTTCGCTGCCTGCTGCGCAAGCGCAAGGACCCGAGTTTGATCCCTGGTACCAAAAAAAAAAAAAAAAAAAAAACAAAGAATAACAAAAGTCAGGCCAGGGATTTAGCTCAGTGGTGCCGCCACCTGCCTCACAAGTGCAAGGTCCCAAGTTCCATCCCTGGTAACAATAACAACAAAAAAGAATAACAAAATTCAAGAAGATTGCTAAGACTTTTTTGAAAATAAATTGCAGAACTTTAATGGAGCCAGACATCATGGCATAAGATCTTGAGTTCAGGGCCACCCTGGGGTACATAGAAAGTTCAAGGCCAGTCTGGACTATGCAGCCAGACCCTGTCTCAAAACAAACAAAGAAAAACAAGCAAGCAAACAGCAACAACAACAAAACTCCACAATAAAATTCTTTAATAGAGGGCATAAAATGAGATACGAATGACTGAGGGCTCAAACTGTGTTCTTTGATGGAAGGATTCAGTTTTATAGAGTTATCAGTCCTCTCCAACATATTATATAAGTGTAATGCCATTTCCATCAGAGTTTTTACTGTATTTATTAAAAATTGAAAAGTTGATAATAAAGTTAATATGCAAGAATAAATTTTTAAAGCTGAGCGTAGTGGTATATGCCTGTAATCCCAGTACTCAGGAGACTGAGATAGAAAGATCATGAGTTCAAGGCCAGCCAGGCCTTTACAGCAAGATCTTGTCTCAAAAAATAAAATAAAAAAAGAAACAGAAAAAGAAAAAAAGAATAAACATTTAACATATCATGAAAATTTTAGGGAAAAAAAAAAAGGATTTGCCCATAAGATGTCACACTATAAAAGTATAGCATAGTAAATAGCACATGCCTATAATCCCAGCACTCAGGAGGCTGAAGCAAGAGGATCACAGTGAGTTCAAGGCCGGCCTGGGCTACATAAGAAAAGCCTGTCTCAAAAAGCCAAAAAAAAAAAAAAAATTATAGTACATAATACAATACCGGCATGGAGCCAGGTCTGGTAGTATATGCCTGTACTCTCCTGCTTAGGTAGGAAGATCACAAGTTGCAACCCAGCCTAGGCACTGTCTTAAAAAAGGGGTAGGGATGTAGCTCAGTGCAAAGACCCTGAGTTTAATCCCCAGTACTGAAAAAAAAAAATACTTGCATGGGAGTAGACATACAAATCATTGGCACATAATACAGAAACAAACCCATGTATATGTGGAAGTTTGGTATAGAAGAAAGGTGGGGTTTTTGTTGTTTGTTTTTTTGGTGCTAGAGATTAAACCCAAGCACTCATGTATGCTAGGCCAGTGAGCTACACACCTTCAGCCCTTAATCAGGCAACTGAATAGCTAGATTATAGTACATCCATTCAATGAAATGCTATGGAATTCAATATTATATGGTATTATTTTGCTCTAATATAAAGAAATAACAATGATACATTGTAAAATGAAGAAAATGAATTGTAAAACTATATGCACTCTGGTTCTTTGTAAAAACAGAAAAAATGTTTTAAGAAGTCAGTAGTTAAAAAAAGAAAAAAAAAGTCAGTAGTTAGCCAGGCATCGTGGTGCACACTTGTAATCCCAGCACTCTGGAAGCTGAGGCAGGAAGATCACTTCGAGTTTGAGGGCAGCTGAGGCTACATATTTCAAGGCCAATCTGAGCTACATAGCAAGACTCTGTCTCAAAAAAATAGTTTAGGAGTTCGATCCCCGGTACCAAAAAAAAAAATAGTTTAGGGCTGGGGATTTAGCTCAGTGGTTTCACCACCTGCTGTGCAAGCGTAAGGACCCGAGTTCGATCCCTGGTACCAAAAACAAAAAGTTTAAAAAAATAAGAAGTCAGTAGTTTTTTGGGTTTTTTGGTAGCGGGGATCAAACTTGGGTCCTTCTGCTTTCGAGGCAGGTGGCGGAACCACTGAGGTAAATCCCGGCCCCCACTTGAGCATTTTTTTTTTTGGTACCGGGGATCGAACTCGGGTCCTTGCGCTTACGCAGCAGGTGGTGAAACAACTGAGCTAAATCCCCGGCTCCACTTGAGCCTTTTTAATGTGGGCCATCCCCACCCTTACAGGTGAGCCTGCCAACTGCGGAGATGGACTGCAGCCTGGCTGAGTACATTGATATGATCTGTGGTAAGCTCCTCCAGCCTTTCCCAGCATAGCTGCATTCGAGGCTTTTGCAAGAGCTTGCTGGCTCTGGAAAGTGGCATCTTGGCTTTGTCTCTACTATAAGCCAGTTGTGCTGCGTGGCAGCCCTGAAGGGTGGTGTTGAGGCTTCTCTGACTACTCCCTGGGTATTTAGCCTCCAAGTCATAGTCACACATCTCCTCTGGAAAGGGACTGAATATGCTAAACAGAAATGCCCCCCAGTCCCCAGAGTTTGTCTGGTTCTGTTCCTTGGAGTTGTTCTTCATTTCAGCCATCCTGGACATTCCTGTCTATAGGAGTCGGATTCAGTCCCTCCACCTGCTGTTTTCCCTCTACTCAGAATTCAAGAACTCACAGGTGAGACCCACAGGAGGGGTTGATCAAGCTGTAGTGAGGAGTCTCCAGGTCCTGGACCTGCTATGATTGTGTCCTGTGGCGATGGAGAATGTCCCTGCCTAGAGTTACCATTGCCATTTAATAAAGAGAACAGCAGAGGAGGCAGGGATGGGGAAAGGAACAGAGCCAGGGCCTCAGATGGTGAGGACCTGCAAGGGACAGCCACGCTTAGAGGAGACTCAAGTGGCCTCATGAATGGAAGCAAGCAAGAAAGGAAAAAGGGACTCATTTCAGAAGGAAGTGGGGCAAATTTCTAGTTGATTTTCAAAGACAACGCCAAGGAATTGGTTTGGAAGCTGAGTTGGGAGAAAATTGGAGTTTTAAGTGTCTTTAAAAGGCAGTTCTTGCTAAAATGTAGCAACTAGCACATCCTATATATTCAGTGTTTTCTTCCCTCTTTCCTGGCAGCATTTTAAAGCTCTGGCTGAAGGCAAGAAAGTATTCACCCCTCCGTCCAGCTCCACCTTCCAAGTTGGAGAGGCAGAGGCTCTAACCCTCAGCTGAGACACACCAGGAGCCTGTGTGGAGTCTGAGATGACAGATCCTTGTCAGCCACTCGGCACCTGCCTGTTCTGCAGCTAGGCTGGGCTGGCACTGTCCTGAACCCTCCCTCCAGAAAACACTTCACATTTGTTGACCAGCTCTGCCTGATTCAGATTACTTTTAATAGGAGAGTTACACATCTACACCACTATGGGGATTTGAGAATTGAATTTTTTTGGGGGGGGTGGTACTGGGGATCAAACTCAGGACCTTCAGATTTCCAGGTAGGCGCTATACCGCTGAGCTAAATCCCTAGCCCGAGAATTGAATCTTTGAGATCCCACAGAGCACAGATTGGGAGGTAAAGCTTAAAAGATATTCTTTTAGGGACAGGGATGAAATTATTTTCTTTCATTCTTTTGTTTGCTTTTTGTTTTATTTTTCTTTGTTGTTTTTGTTTGTTCAGACCGGGTCTATGTAGTTTGGACTGGCCTTGAACTCCTGGCAATCTCCTTGCTTCAGCCTCTTGGGTGCTGGCATTAGAAGCCTGTGCCACCAGCCCAGCTTTTCTTTCATTCTTAAAGTTATTTGGCAGTGAATTTACAAATAAAATGCTATGTCAGTTTGTGATACAATACTTTTTTTTGTATCCACAGTTCCTAGCTCATTACTTCATTGCCCTTATTATTTCCTACGTGACTAGAAGAATGTTGGGGAGCTACAGGCCTCAGAAAGCCTCCCACTGCTTCTGACTTTCTGCCTTCTTTCACCTGCACCCTTTTATTCTCAAGGCAGGCCACAGAAACAGAATTTCTCTTTCCCAAGGCAAGTCAGAGAAATTTAATCTTAAATTCTCTGACCTACCTTGTCTATAGTAGATGTTGAGACCTCCATTTGAGGAGGGGTCTTGCACCATGTTCTCCAGGAAGCAGTACTGAAGAATCTCAACAGACAGGGCCTGCTGGCTTTCCCAGCCCAGCATTAGATCATGTGCTTTGTGTCCATTAGCATTTCGATCATGCATGTGTAATGAATTCTCCATATAAACCCAAAGGCCAAGGTTCAGAGAGCTTCTGGAGAGCTAGACACATAAAGGTTCCTGGAAGGTAACGGCCTGGAGAGGGCATAGAAGCTCTGCACCCCTCCCCCACACCCATCTTGTAATATGTTCCTCTGAGCCAGTAATATGTTCCAGTAATATGAGCCAGTAATATGAGCCAGTAACATGTTCCTCTGAGTTCTGAGAGCTACTCAAATCACTTGAACCCAAGAAGGGGGTTGCAATAACCCCAATTTATTTCTGGTTGGTCAAAAGCACAGGTAAAGCAAAATGGGGCTTGTGACTGGCATCTGAAGTGAAAGGTCTTGTGGACTGAGCAGCCAGCCTGTGGGATCCAATGCTGTCTAGAGGTAGATAGTGTCATAATTGCATTAGGGGACCCCTTTCTGGTGTTCAGTGTTGCAGAACTGATTGCTTATTGGTTGAGGGAGTCATTTTTCTCTCAGAATTTCATTTTCTGGGGGGTCTCTGCTGGGAATGCTGCCTTCCTTCTAGGGCTCCTGTCTGTCTGTGGTCCCAAGGAGCCTGCTATGACAGTAATCTAGTGAGACATGAGTGTGGCTTGTGGTAGAGTGGTGCTAGTAGAGATGGACCAACATGAAGTACTGTGGAGTTATATCTGCTATGCTCCAGTCAGGAAATATGAAACCCTGCTAGTGATTTCTAACGAAAGACATTTCATGGAGGAAATTGGTTGCAAAAGTGTTGGCAAGAGCTGAAGGAGAAGGGAGAATGGAGGGTACTGAAGCCACACGAAGGTTACGGGTGGTCCACAGCAGGCACCTGCAACAAAGGTCTGCTGGGGCCAGGTCTTGAGTGGTTGAGGTGCCACTCGTGGCCCTGCTGAAGACCACCTGCCTTCACTTCCACCACTGCACTGATGGGGAGCAGAAATGAACAGCAGGCAGGGGAATCAGGAAAATCCAGCAGTACAGAGTAGAATTCGGCTTTCTGGAAGTCAGCCCCGTCGTTTTGCATTTTCGTGGAGATGTCACTGCATAGGCATGAAGGAACCTTGAGGTGACAGCTGAAATGTGACTAGACACACAGGAGTGAGCTACTGGGAACACCCTGAATGGGGAAGCTCAGCAGGGCTGACTGCTGATATCCTTCAGGGTTCCCTTCTTACTGAGGCAACGATAAATGACCAGGCAGAACCGATAGAACTCGGTGAGCCTAGATGTGGGTCACAGAAGAGATCAAGGATGATTTCTAGGTGTTTTGGGCTCAAGCAACTGGGTAATGGAGTCAAGTACTGATACAGGGAGAAACCAGGGCAACAATTGGAGGGGAAGACAACATTAAGATGCTACACTACCAGCCTTATATACACACTGTGTGTACACAGATGGGAGAGGAATGGTTTCTTACAAATTCTCTAATCAACCATAATCACATCATGCTTCCACATGCAGAGCTCAGGTCTCACTGACACCAGATCAGCCAGATGCTCTGCTCTGACTCAGTCTTTCCCTCATACTGAGGATTAAACCCAGGGTCTGTTGGAGCTACATTCCCACTGAGCTACATCCCTACCCCTTATAAAAAAAAATGATTTAAAAAATTTTAAGACCGGGTCTTGCTTAGTCACTAAATTGCTTGGGCCAGGTGTGAACTTGCTACCCTCCTGCCTCAGCCTCCCAGTGCTGGGATTATAGGTGTGCCACCATGCCCAATTAATACTGGGTGATTTAAATACTTCATTTAAGCATTGGTGATGTAGCTCAGTGGTACAACATGTTAGTATACACAAGGCTCTGGACTTGATCCCTAGTACCACCAAAAAAATTTGTTTTCATTTAAGAACATATTTGAAGAAACAAAGCAAATACATTCATTCAGTTAAGTTTATTGATTTTACTGTGTGCTCAGCACTGTCCTAGGCAGTAACATAAGAAAAATTACAAAACAAGGGAAAAATATAGTCTGCATTCTGCTAATTTCCAATCATTTCCATGTTGCTTTTTAAAAGCATTCTTAGGTCATTTTGGAGTATGCAGTCTCCCTTTCTCTATGTCTCCCTAAACTTTCTGGAACTGTTGAATTATATACCTACTTTAGCCCCACCTAAAGAAGGTGGGGTAGGACAAATGGCTTCCTACGGATGGGGCAGCCAGGGTTGGTCAGGGCTGGGGTTCCCTGGGAGGGGAGATGTGCTGAGAGGGAAACTGTCCACCCTCAGGGCTCAGGACACTCACAGTGAATCAAAGGAAGGCCAAACCTGGGGATCCCAGAGGGCTCTGGGCCATCCCTCACCCCCTCCCCTAGGGGATGTGCTTAAAGTGCTAATACTGTAAAAATTGATGCATAGCTACATGCAGTCCTGGACTCCACCAGACTTGTCACCTCTCTTCTTCCCAGACTTGTGCTAACACCAGGTACTGGCATTGCTGGGAGTCAGGCCAATGTGGGAGTTTAGGACCCAGTGAAGAAATAAGATCCAGTGTATAACTTGTGATGTCCAGGAAGATGCAGGGCCAGAGACACGGGGTGGAGAAGGGCAGAGAGGTATGCAGCAAAAGGGACTAGTTTGTGCTTGGCAGGGGCCCCTGGGCCACAGGTTGTTTCTTGTGCAAAGGGAAGTTTGATTTTATACAGCTAGCAGGGTACTGCATTCTCCTTGAGGGAACGAAGGTGCATAGCATAAGAAGGACACTGAAGACATGCAGGGCCTTCCCTATTTATAAACAGCCCTCCCCCCATGCCTACTATTCAAGGTGCTATCAAGTACAGGTGTGGGGCATGTAGCAGGCCATGCCATACTTGGGGGCTGGGTGACACCTGGACACACCTAACCAAAGAGCTACATCTGCTCAGTCATCGCATGCAGGCCCTAACCTGAGTTAGCACAAGGGGCTTAGTTCTGGCTGGCAGCCTTGCCAAGGATACCTGTGCCCTACAGGTCAAATCCCAGTGAAATAGATCATGTGCTTGACCCCTAGGGTACCCCAGCCAGTGGCAGTAGCATGGCCTCTTCATGTTGGCCATATGGCCAGGCAGAGGATGCACTGGAGGAGCAGGGGGCAGGGTGTTCTGGATGTCTGGGCCCAAAGGGCACTCCTGACACACCTTGCTCAGAGCCAGATCTCATCACTGCTCACACTGGACACTCGATAGATGTAACCCAGCATTGGGAGGCGGATGAAACCTGCAGGGTTAAAGATGCCCAGAGCACTCAGTAATCCTGGTTCCCTAGAACCCAGGGAAGACCTCTCTGCACTCTGGTATTCAGAGGCCTTTGGCATAAGCACAGGGCTGGGGCATAAGAAGGAGGGCAGCAGGCCCACTCCCAAGTACCTTGGCTGGTGAGGAGGCCACCTGTGTCAGGTTCCAGAAGTTCTGGCTGGCTGCTGTTCCGAGCCATTGGCCGGTCTGCTAGTTTCTCTGCTGGGTGACAAAGATGATGGTGTCAAGGATGAGTGGTGTGCTGGATGAAGCCTTGCCCCCCCTTAAGAACCAGGATCTCTCTTTTTCTCAGCAGCACTTTTGAAGATAAAGCAGGGGCAAGTACCAGAGTCCTGGATGTACCTCTGGAATCTGGAGCGAGGTCATTGAGCTGAAGGTTGGATGGGAGGGACATGTTCTCCCGTGGCAGGCGCACATTGTTGAGTTTCAGGTTGTTAGAGTCACTACAAAGTAGAAACAAAGGCTGAGATATGCCTGGCACCAGCAAGCACAGGCTCCTGCTTTGAAGCCTATCCCAGACTTCCCAGAAACCCCAGGTTCCCACCTGTCTGCATTCTGCACTTGGGTTCAGCCCATCCACCCAGCCCCAGGAGGAGTTACCTAGAGATCAGAGACGGGCGTCGGGAGGGGCCTGAGGAGAAAGAAACCATGCCACTGATTCTCAGTGTGTCCACCCACAGTGGACTCTGGCCCCTGCCCTTCCAGAACTAGACCCTCTAGAAAGGAGTCTCTCAAATGCCCAGCCCTGGCCTTGGGACCAGAGCCGGGTTCTTAGTGCCTGTCCCTGCTACCTGGGATGTGTTGCCTTATCTGCAGCCACATCCTGCCAAATGGCAGAAATTACCCATGCTGTCCAGGCCCACTCATTGCTTTATCCCCAACCTCACTGCCACTCCTCCAGCCACCCCCTGCCCCTATTGCCCCTGGCCCTACCTTTGGTCTTCTTCTCTTTTCTGCATACCAGGCAGGCCACCAAGGTGCTGAACCCCACTAGGGTTCCCAGGGCAAGCCCTCCAGCCACAACGATGCCCAGCAGTGGCACTTCCACCCGGGTGGCCAGGAGCCCTGCAGGTTGTCCACTGTTAGCCTCCAAGTGGGCAATACCCCCGACCCTGAGATGCCATAGGCTGAACTCCTCTGTTCTCCTTGCCTGAGGTGGCTAAGGACAGCTCATTCCACAAGGCCCACCCACAGGGCAGTGAAGTCCTCCCATTTCTGTACTGTGATCCTTGTGCCCACCTAAGGCTTTGCTGAGCCAGTTGTTAGCACTCCTCACCTGGGCCTGGAAGCGAGGCACTGGTGACACCGACATCATTGGTGGCCACAACTGAGAGGTTGTGTGCCAGGCTGCGGAGCTGCAGCTGCACAGTGTGGTTAGTGAGCCAGGGATAGTTCTGAGCATCCAGCACCAGGAAGTCAGAGGTGTTGACAGTCACTGGCCCATCCTGGTCAATCCAGGTGACATTGGCAGGTGGGTTGGCACGCACCAGGGCAAACAGGACAACCAGGAGGCCTGGGCCCTCAGCTTCTTGGTACTTAGCCCCGACCTGAGCAATTTCTGGTTTAACTAGTGTAAAAGAGAGAATAATATGTTTACTACAGCCCTGTATACTCTGGCCCTTTCGTCCCAAATCCAGATGGAACCCAGAGGTCTCAACTTCTCAGAGTGGGCACTGAGATAGGATGGCTAGGCTCACCAGATGCAGCATTTCATAATGATAAGTATGGAGGCCTGTCTAACCCACAGACTATGTACCACCTACCTTTTAAAAAAACTATTGTAATAAATATTAAAAGAGAAGAAAGTTTCAAGGTATGTGTGTGTGTGTATAAATAAAAATATAAAATTTTATATGCATGGGCCGGGGATTTAGCTCAGTGGTTCCGGTGCCTGCTTCTCAAGCGCAAAGACCCAAGTTCAATCCCCAGTACCAAAAAAAAAAAAATTTTATATGCAGCCCAACAAAACTCCTCTTCATTCAACATGGTCTGCCAGATGGACACTCCTATCAGAGCCAAAATACCAAAATGTCTGGATCTGAATCCTGGCTCTGCTTCTTACCACCTGTATAACTTTGGGCATATTGCTTAACCTCTTTGTGCCTCAGTTCTCTCATTTGTAAAATGGAGATAAAAATAACAATCCCTTTGTAGATTACTGCGAGGATAAAGTGAATTAATGTTTGCAAAGAGCTTAAGTGTTTGCTAAACATCATGCTGAACACCAGCCACATGGCTGCGAGGGGTCCAGGAACCTCTCCCCTTGCCCACTTCAGAGTTACTCACATTGCACATTGAGGATGACAGAGGCGTTGGCTGACCGGCCACTGCCAGGGTCCTGCAGGGAGCAGTTGAGCTCATGCTGGGCCCGGTGGGCAGTGACAGTAAAGGTGCTGGTGCCTCCAGAGAAGGCCTCCCCACCCACACTCAGCAGTCTTGAGGTGCTGGCCTCCTGTAGCTGTCCATTCAGGTACCAGGCTAATCGAGGGGTTCCAGGGCCCCCTGCCACCCGACAGGTGAAGGCATGACGCTCATTCTCCTGAAGTGCCCTCTCAGCCCAGGTGTGACCATCAATTTGCGGTGCCAACTCCCCCCAACCTAGAACACAGGCAGCTTCTAGGAGGGGCTGGAGGAGGTTGGTACTGTTCTGTGACTAGGATGAGGTCCAGTTACAAAGGGGCAGCAGGTCAAGAGGCAGGGGAGGGTTCTCTCACCAGGGACTGGCTGGACCTAAGGTAGGTTAAGTAGGAGAGGGGAACCTGGCTTTGGAGCCTGGGGCCTGTCCCACCTAGAGAGGGCACCAGATGGAAGGTGCAGGCAAGGAGGGGAAAGATGGGGATCTGGCTCCTAGAAGGAACCAAAAAGAGTGTACCTGAGCTCAGAAGGGCTGGCAGGAACAGTAGTGTGTGCGGGAGGGTGGCTGGGCCTGGAGGCAGCCCCATGGTGGCCAAAGCTGGGGCTGGCCTGCTGAGAGAATGGGGTGGCCTTGGTGTCAGCCAGGTGAGAGCAGGCAGGCCTAGCAACTCCTTCAGGAATTTACTCTCGAAAAACAAAAAGAACCATACATGAAATCACGAATGGAGACTGGCCCACAGTGGCCGTGGCACGGACACGAAGAGCAAAGCCCGAAGGCACAGACCCACCCAGCACATACCTGGGCACCTGCGGGCACAGAACCCAGCACTGACTGTAGAGGACAAACATCACATACGAAGGTACACAGAAGCAAGGGGCAACTGCGCAGCCGCACCACACACACACACACACACACACACACACGCACACACACACACACATGCACGCAAGGTCTGCACATGCCCTTCCCCCAGACTGCCCTCTCCAACCCAGTCCTCTCTCCTACTCTGTTCTCCCTCCCATCTCGCCCTACGCCCCCTTCTCCAATCCCGGTTGCTCAGGTGGACTTGGGCAGAAGAGGAGGACATCGCGGACGCGGGGGTCACGCAAGCAACACGCCACAGCCCCCTTCCTCGTACGGCTCACCTGGCTCCCTCCGCGAGCCCAACCGAGCAACTGCTCAGGTCTGATGAGCACCGCAGTCCGCGGGAAGAGCGGGGGCTGCGCCAGGCAGGGCCAATCGATGCCCAACTACGGGCAGGTGGGTGGCCGTTCCCTCCCCACCCGGACCGCACCTCGGCCCTCTGGCGGGTCAGCCTTAGTGCCGGCTCCGGCGAGCGGGCGCGTAACAGGACGAAGGAGGCTCAGTCGCTCAGCTCGGCAGCTTTATTGGTTCAGCTCCCCTCCCGCGCCGGTCCCTCCAGCGCGCTCAACGCCCGTTCTGGGGACTGCGCAGCTGCCGCATCACGTCGGCCAGCATGCGGTTGCACAGCGCTGCATACGGGTTGAGCAGCACCAGCTGGCGCCGCGCGAAGGGGCTGCCCAGCTGCGCCGCGCGCTCGAAGTCCCTGCGGGCGTCGTCGTCCCGGCCCTGGAGCCGTGCCAGGAGCCCCCGCTGCACGAAGCCTTGGCGGGCGGCGCGGCCGCGGCCTCCGCTCAGCGCCACGGCGCGCTCCAGGTCCTCCAGGGCGCCTGCGGGCGGACAAGCGCGGGGTCAGCAGCGCTCCCGAGCCCCCGCCCACCCGCGGCCCGGACACTCGCAACCCGTCTGTGGGTCGGATGGCCATCCTAAAACTACGGTTCATTAGGACTCGTCCTTGCTGACAGCTTTCACGACGAGTGAGCTTCAGGAAGACCCGCCTTTTCGGGCCCGTCCAGACCTCCTTTGAGTTGTGCTTTCATCAAGTAAGCCATTTGCTCCTCCCAGCCCGCCCCCTTTCTGTAAAAACATCGCCCCTGTTCCCCTCAGTGCACAGATGTCCCTTACGTCAAGATCTCTGCTGTACAGGCTCTTACGGCTTCCCTTTGACTCAGCCTTTGTCTTGGTACATTCTTTGACCGCCCTGTTACCAGCCATGTCCCTGGGAGGCCGTTTCGCCTGGCATTTGGTGTCCCGAAGGGGAGCTGCTCTTTCTCTTGTCGACCAATCATTGGCACGGCGGTAACTGAGGGTCTGTGGCTGGGGCTACTCCCAGGCGAGATCCACAGGCTGCCGTACTGATTCCCAACTCCTAACTGCCCTTAGGGAACCCTCCCTGGAGATTTTCTGGTCCTTTGGTGGAGAGCGATTATCCCTATTTGCAACTGCTGGCGCACTCACTGGCAGAGTCCGAAGGCAGCCTATCAGAGACTCTGTCCGCTGGGGCAGATAGGATGCAAAGCCACTTCGTTGAGCTTCTGGGGCGCCCTTAATCTCACGATATGTTGCTGGTTGAATCCACACATATTGTAAGGACTCCCTGCCTTCTTTTTCTTTTCCGGGGAACTCTGCCACCACCCAGTTCCACCCGACTTCCTGATCTGAGAGATGGACCATCGACTCTTGGCGTTCGGTTAAGGGTTTCTCCAGAGCCTTGAGTTTCCCTCTCGCTCACCCTATTCGCTATCCAGATTGATGACCCTGAAGGTTTTTGGCCCCAGCGCCGTCTAGTGTTGGTTGGACATCTCCATCTAGGGCATTTTCAAGTTCCTGAGTACCTCCTAGCAGCCAGTTACAGCGTTAGGTATTAGGGACAGGAAGCTGAACAAGACAGCAGGTGTTCCCTTGAGAGACCCTTATAAAAAAAGTACAGTGAGATGAGCACTCTGCTGAGAGAAGCACAGTGCATTGAGAGCACAGAACAGGCTGAGTCTAAAAATGATTTCAAGGAGGAGTTAAGTTCATGGATGAAGGTCTCTAATGGAAGCCCTGTGTTTACTTTCTAGATATTCATCTCTGAAGCAATAATCCAGCTCAGAAGTCATTATGCTGCTGCCCAAAAGAAAGGTTTGAAGACAGGCGCAGCTGGAAACTGAAAAATATGCCATCAAAGCAGAGGGCCCCTTTTGGGTCTCATGAATGTCTACTACAGATCTTCTATGAAAGACTATTTTCAGAAATTAGGTCACAGACATTTTTGAGGAGATTTTAACATAACAATACCATAGAAATGGAATGAACCATTATATTAGTTAAGGTAGGAGAGCTGTTGTAACAAATAGAATAACAAATCCAAGGTAGTTCCAGGTAGAGTTCCAGTTGAAGGAGGACTCTGCTCTGACCGTCATTTAGGGGCCTAGACTACTGGGGGTTCTAAGAGCTCTAAGTGGCTTCCAAAGTTGCTTTGGGTATGGATATTACTTTGGCAGATGCTTTGCAATGTCTTGTGAGTCTTAAAGCTAATTTACTAAAAAGATTATTGGAGCCTCCACATTGAGGAAGGACAATGATATATCATCCTAAGAGAGGTGGGTGGGAGAGGTAGGCCATTGTATGCTACAGTTCCTCCCTCCTGGGGCTGGCAGTACAAAGTGCAACCACTGGGATTGCCTCTTGGTAAGTGGTTGCCATCCTGAGTGTTTGCACTGCTAATACTGTGGGTTGAAGCAACTGGACTTCTCTAATCAGAAATAGTGCTGCTAGTGTCTTTCCCATTATGCATCACTGGGTGCCTGTCTGCAGCAGTTCTCTGACCACAAAAGTAAGGGTTTCGCTCCATCCTTTCAGCCAAAGCTATGCTGCCCTACAGAGCATGGCAGGGCTTTTCTTACATTCTGGAATATCTGCTTTGTTGGGCTTACTTGGGTTCCCAAGGATGGAACTGGCTGCAACAATTTTCTTGCCTTTTATAGCTCTTCTTGCAGATTTCCAGGAGGGAATTTCATGTTCCTTGAGGTCACTGTCTGCAGGGGTCATCTGACTCTTTTTCAGATGAGAAACAGCTGAAGGAATAGCTGGTCCAGCATGATCAGTGTGCAGTCTCTGAGTCCTGCTACAAGACAAGTTTGTGTGCACATGGTGGCCAGGAGCCTGGTCAGTGCTTTTGCTGAGGTTGCTGCTTGGCCACACCTTAACAAGTGAAAGGTGCTGCTTGGTAGCACCGGAGTGAGGAGTCTGGCTCAGAAGATATTCCCCCCAGCAAAGTATAAGTAGCTGAGTTTTCATCATATTTCCTATCTGAAAAAGATTCATGAATTTCTTTTTCTGAGAATCCCATGACAGTCTTCATATTTATTCTTTTCTGGTCTGAGATATTTAGCTCTGTTTCAATGAATGTTTCAAGTTCATCTCCCTAATGCACTTCATTTATCCACTTATTATCATTTGTGTTAGAGTGCCACACTTCTTTGGGTTTACCATAGGAATGGTTTCAGAAACTGTTCACAGTCTGTGGATAGATAGGTAGAAAGGGATTCTGTATCTTCATGTGAACACTTTCACTTGCTTCAGATTTCTTCTGTTGAAGGGGTGTAACCCACTGATTAGATCATATAAAACCACACCAAGACTCCACTCATGAACTTTCAGCCCCTTGTACTTGCCCAGGTGGATCTGTGGGGCTGCATATGCAGGACTGACTGTCACAAGATGTATCCAGTATCCTGCCCACAGCTAAATCCAAAATCTGATATTTTGATGTTCATATCCTCATCTAACTATTTTCTTGGTGTTTAGGTCTCTGTGGATTATGCCCTTATTGTGGCAGGATTGCACTGCAGAAAGGATCTGTCTAAATTTAGCTCTTGCTTCTTATCCATTTTCCCATGGGTAACCAAACACTCATACATTTACCTCTTTTTTTTTTTTTTTTGCATATCCCATTATTAAATAGAATGTTTTTTCAGTTTCACTGAGTTCATACAACTGTATTATGTTTGGATGATTTAAAGTCTTGATTATTCTTTTCTGAGTAAATTCTAGAGTGTTAATGGAGCCTTCGGGGTTTTGTCAGTTATTCATTTTTTTTGTTTGTTTGCTTTTTATACCACTTTATTCCAACCTGAGCACCTCAATATAAAACTAAACACTGTGAACTGTTTTCCTTGCTAATTCTGAATTACTGTAAAATGTACAAGAGTTCTGCTAGGAGTTTGACACTTAAATAGAGTAAATCATCTGACACATGGTACATTTCATATAATGAAAATACCTAAAAATTAGTGCAATATACGGAACTTATCAAAATAAAGTGGACTTTGGGGCTGGGGATTTAGCTCAGTGGTTTCGCCACCTGCTGCGCAGGGGCAAGGACCAGAGTTCAATCCCCAGTACCAAAAAAAAAAATAAAGTGGACTTTGAAAAACAAGGGTGCAAGATTGTTACTAACATTGCAATATTTATGTTTCAAATTACGGATACATTGCTTATTATGGTTCTAGCCATGTAGGAACTGAAGCCCCTTTTTTTCAAAGGGTAAGAGAAAGAATTAGCTGTTTTAGTAAGAACATTTTGTATACTTTTAAGCAACTCTTAAATGTTACAGAAAAATAATAAACATACATGGAGGTTACAATTTCAGTACTCTAGTTACAGTACAGCTAAAGATAAAATTTAAAACAAGTTTGGATGGGGCCAGGGATTTAGCTCAGTGGTTCTGGTACCTGCCTTGCAAGTGCAAGGTCCCAAGTTCGATCCCCGATACCAAAAAAAAAAAACCAAAACAAGTTTGAATGTACGTAATTGTTAGTGCACTGACTATATTACATCCAAAGGGAACAAAAGCCTCTTCCCTGCCTGCAAACAAGACCTATGAATGGCCAGCAGTGATTAAAAGAAAATCAGATACCTGGTTTGCTTCATTTCTTTGAAGAGCTCACATAAAGGGAACACTATTCATTAAAATGCATTTATTAGTTTTCATAGTCCTAAATAAGGTGGAGTTAACATTTGACTTTATCCCATTTAGAAAAATAGAAGGACTGGCTATAATTTAGATGCTACTAATATTCCTTTTCTTCCTGGAGATGTAGGACTGTTTTCTTGTGGTTAACTTACTAAAATGTGGAATGTGCATCTTAGATAACAGAAGAAAGTTTACCTGAATACTGTGGCTAAGCATAAATTTCTTTATAATCTCTAAAAATGTTTTTCAGAAAGCTCAAATTCATAATTTCTAATTTTTTCACAGATGATTACTGTCCCAGTTTGGAGAAACTGGATGGTTAACCGTAGGTCCAGATAGTCATTTGTCTTTATCCCTAATGATGAGAAATGATTCCCTCCAATTTTCCAGGGAAACAAGTGCACACAGATCTCATTTTTCTCTTTCTATTGCTGAAACATTAGTCAGAGGGACACATGCATGTTATTAAAAATTAAGTTCAAAACACTTAAAATAATTCTGTATTAGAAACTTGACTCTATCATAATTCTCTTGTTTTGGGGAGTCATACTGGGCTAGTTAAATGCTCCAATTCCACTGTTATTTGACGTTTAGGAAGCGGAATATTCCAGCTAGTTCAAACTGGAGGTTTAGTTACTACAACACTGACTTCTGGTTGATTGTATAGGTTCAGTGAGGTCTATTCCTCTTCATCTAGGAGGATTTGCTCCTGGATTCTGTAGTTTGTTCTTTGGCAGTTTTTTTAGCTATTGCCATGAATATTTCATTTACATTCATTGATGTTTTAGCTGATGTTTCCATGAATAATAAACTGTTGTCATCTGCACAGGACTGTGCTTCCTGGAAATCTACAGCTCTTTTTTTTTTTTG